CATTTATGGGTCAGGGGTCACTCACAGCTCATTGGCCACTCTGTGGTCAGTCATTGGTCAGTCATTGGTCACTCAGGGGTCACTCAGGGGTCACTCGGGTCATTTTGGGGTCATTTTGGGTCATTTTGGGTAATTTTTGGGTCATTTATGGGTCAGGGGTCACTCACAGCTCATTGGCCACTCTGTGGTCAGTCATTGGTCAGTCATTGGTCACTCAGGGGTCACTCAGGGGTCACTCGGGTCATTTTGGGGTCATTTTGGGTCATTTTGGGTAATTTTTGGGTCATTTATGGGTCAGGGGTCACTCACAGGTCATCGGTCACTCATTGGTCACTCTGTGGTCACTCAGGGGTCATTTTGGGTAATTTTGGGGTAATTTTTGGGTAATTTATGGGTTGGGATCACTCAGTGGTCACTCATTGGTCACTCAGTGGTCACTCGGGTAGTTTTGGGTCATTTTGGGGAACTTTTGGGTAATTTTTGGGTCATTTATGGGTCAGGGGTCTCTCTCAGGTCATTGGCCACTCATTGGTCACTCTGTGGTCACTCAGGGGTCATTGGACACTCAGGGGTCACTCAGGGGTCATTTTAGGTAATTTTGGGGTAATTTTTGGGTAATTTATGGGTCAGGATCACTCAGTGGTCACTCATTGGTCACTGTGGTCACTCACTGGTCACCCATTGGTCACTCACTGGTCACTCAGGGGTCAGTGGTCACTCACTGGTCACTCAGGGGTCACTCAGGGGTCATTTTGGGGTAATTTTTGTCAATTTTGGGGTCGTTTATGGGTCAGGGGGTCACTCAGGGGTCAGAGGTCACTCATTGGTCACTCATTGGTCACTCACCGGTCACTCTGCCCCTCCCCCAGCCTCGTGCTCCGCCCCTCCCTCGTGAGGCACCTCAAGAGCCGCGGGCTGCAGGTGAGGGGGCGTGGCCTGGGGAAAGGGGGCGTGGCCTGGGAAAGGGGCGTGGCTAATGCAATGGGAGTGGCCAAGTGAAAAGGGGGAGGGGCCAAACCAGGATCCTGCCCCACCCCCACCTTCACAGGGCCTTTTCAGGGTGGGGGGATGGGCCAGAAATGCAAATTTTGGGGTGGGGGAGGGGCTAAAAATGCAAATTTGGCGTGGGGGAGGGGCTAAAAATTCAAATCTTGGGTGGCAAAGGGACCAAATCCTCAAATTTGGGGTAAAAATCTTCAATTCAGGGTAGGGGAGGGGCTAAAAATGCAAATATGGAGGTGGGGGAGGGGCTGAAGAGCCAAATTTGGGTGGGGGAGGG